CTTCGGGCACCAGCTCAGCAGCGGTGAGTGTCCGCCCCGATGGGGCCGCAGGTGAGCCCGCTGCCGCCCCGACGGGGCAGGCAGGGGACACAGGAGTCTCCCAGTTTGCCTTTCCCCGGAGGGGTCCGGCGAGGCAGGCGCCGGTCGCTCCCTGCACCCTCCCATTTTGCTTCGTACGTCCAAGGATGACAGCGCCTTTAACCAGATCCACTTAACTGTGTCGAAATGTTATTTTTAGGCTGATGTTGGTTTTATCCCCCTTATGTTGTAATTACCAAATGAGTGGGGTAATGACACATAATATTTCGAAAAGGTCGCTTGATTGCAGGTAAAAATCTGCTCACAGCACTGCATGCAACGTGAATTACTTGGAAATGTATCATATGTACTCAGGCGGTATTGCTTAGTGCATTGAGGCTGCTTTTGTTGCGTGAACTGATAATGTAATTGCTGAGATTTACACTGAAATAGGGACATTTTGTTTGTACCAAATGACAGCACCAAAGGTCTTGATCCTGCAAGTTTCTTTTGAGCACTATGCTCGATGATTTCAGTGTAGTCATTGATGTGAGCTTATGTATTCGTAGAAACATAGAATAGTTTGAGTTGGAAGGGACCTTTAAAGGTCCAACCTCCCCTGCAATAGGCAGGGACATCTTCAACTAGATCAGGTTGCTCAGAACCCCATCCAACCTGACCTTGAATGTTTCCAGGGATGGGGCATCTATCACCTCTCTGGGCAACCTGTGCCTGTGTTTCACCACCTTCTTCATAAAAGATTTCTTCCTTAAATCTACTCTAAATCTACCCTCTTTTAGTTTAAAACCGTTACCCCTTGTCATATTGCAACAGGCCTACTAAAAAGTCTGTCCCCATTTTGTGCAATCTTTGCTCTATACTACAACAGTGATAAAACCCAAATATTAACCTTGAAAATGTAAAATAGGCAATAAAAAGTGACGCATATTGCAAAAAGGAAAAGAAAAAAACCAAACCAGGAAACAGTTTTCCCTACTATATGTAGCTGTATGTATTGTGTGTTAGTCCTTCTGTCCAACGAGAAGGACTGTTCCTGCACTCCCAAAAATGAGTGGCACTGTGAACCCACGAAGCTTCACTAGTGTGTCCTTTGGAAGCATTTTATAATGATACGAGCACCACAGAGTAATACAAACAGGAGAAGCAAACAGGAACTTTCCTGCCCTTGAGTAGGGAGACTGGAAACAACAACTTGTTTTTACAATGGTGAAAATTAGTACAGTGAAATTTTAGCTGCAGTTAATGGCCAGGCACTGATTTTCAGTTTGCTTAGAGCATATACCTCACTTAACACAGTGTAAAGATTTGCTCTACATTATGCCAGAAATCTCAGAGAGTGAGACTAGCTTCAGAGGCCCAGGTAGGTCCCTCCATGATTTTTCTGAGATTAATTAGGAACAGTTAAAGGCTTTTTATACTGCTGTCTTGCCCGTGGCCAGCTGATTCTAGGAAAAACACATGACCTAATCCTTCTTGTGCCATCCTGATTTTTGCATGGTTTAAGAGGTCTGGGGCTGTTTGCAACCTTTGTGAGTTAGAACAGCCTCAATGTTTGCTAAATTTAGCCTGAGGTAAGTTCTGGCCCTATAAAAACATAACGTGGGATCGTGACAGCTTCAAGTTCTTTCTCTGAGATCTGAACTAAGCTTTTCTTCTTCAAAACAATATGAGTAGTGAAAAGCAGAGTGGAGAGTAAGGGGGTTTGGGTATGCTTTGGTTTGGGTTTGATTTTATTATTATTATTATTAAAACTGAATTGGCTTGAAAGTTTCTGTGGCAAATAAAGTTCCCAACCAGATTTAGAAAGGATTTACCAAAAACCGCGTGGTACAAGCCAGAAACAGCACCATTAATAGCATGGTCATATGAAGAGGCCCCGAAGTCTTTTTTGGATGTGAATATCCACTGCTTTAAACAAGCTAACACTACAGACCAAGCGGTGATGGCTTTCAACTTGTAACTGTTCCCTTTTAATAATAGTCTGGCTTGTAAAATCGCCTTCCAGGAAGGCAATCAGAGGGAGTGATGAAGTAACATGTTAGTGTCTTGCTTTGTAGGCACGAAGGAGGCCGCTTTCATATACGCGGTGACGTCGGCGGGCCTCATGCACTCGGTGACGCGATCGTGCAGCGCAGGGAACATGACCGAGTGCTCCTGCGACACCAGCCTGCGGAACGGGGGCTCAGCCAGCGAGGGCTGGCACTGGGGCGGCTGCTCCGATGATATCCACTATGGAATGTCGTTCAGCAGAAAGTTCCTGGATGCGCCCCTGAAGAACCTCACGGGCAAGAGCGGGAGTGGGCTGGCGGCCATGAACCTGCACAACAACGAGGCAGGGAGGCAGGTACGTGTCACCTCCCAGAACGGCAGCGATTGCTTGTGTGCCTTTGCTGACAAAACGGTATCGACCAAATGAGATCTGTCCTTGCCTGCAGGTACAGAGGGGACCAATGAAAAGAACAGCCCTAACAGCACCGAAGCAAATGTGTACACACTCGGGATCAGAGCTGGGTTTAACTAAACTCCACAGGTTAAAATAAAATCCACAAAATAAGATTGGATCTGGAATGCCAGTCAAAGTTGTCTTGAATAGGTACTTGATATTCTGTAGCAAACTTGAAATAGTCTTGTTATCAGCATAATGCATTAGGAGTTTTTTCACCGATTATTCTGTAATGATGACCAAATGCAGGTCATCTCTCTAATTAATTCTCTCTAATACTGAATGAGCAGGCAGACTGAACATGAGGCATCGTTACCCATCAGCTGGGATCTGCGATTGAGAGTAGAAGTCTAAAATTGTTCAGATAGGAAATTGAGAGTTAACCTTTTCTTTTAAAAGGTGGGATGGAATAACACCTCTCTTTCATAGAAGCCCGCTGGTTAGGGCACTCATCAGAGAAATAAGAGAAGTCTGGCTTTGGATAGCTCTTCTTCAGCCCAGAAGACTTCAAACCCATGGCTGCAGAGGAAACTTGTATGGGTGTGTGACATTTGGTCCTCCTGTCCTGTTCTGCAGAGGATGATAAATGGGGGCAGAAACAGCCAACACAGGGCGACGTGAGACTGCAATCCAGTGCTTGTGGCTTACATCTGGAATGGCAGAGACTTGAATTCTGGTTGTTGCTTTAAAATCTCTTTCTCTGCTTTACCTTGGAGTTTTTATCTTTGTAAGTGTTTAATGGCTCTCTCTGGCCCCATAATACTTTAAATCTGTTCTGCTCCATGACACAGCTATAACTAAAGAAAAGAAATGGAGACTCTCTGGTTTTGACTACACATTTTGATGGACTCCATTGTAACTCAGTATACTATTTCCTGTACCCAGAAGCAGCATCAATGGGTTTTACTGAAAACAGCTTTCCTACCTGCCATAGATGGGGAATAGTCATAGAAAGCCATAATAAGAGCCGTGATGGTATCAGTGCAAACTATTTTAATTTAAACTATTTTTTACAGTTTACAAGGTAATATATGTTATTGAATTTAATTAAGTTATATAGTTGGAAAACTAGAAAATCTTTCAGGGACATAGGCCCTTTTCAGGACTGAAGTAGAGGAAGCAAACTTTAAACCTGAGTAGATGCTGAGAACAGTTACTGTGAGTTTAATTAGATGCCAGTCTGCTAAACCACCTCCAAGGAAAAGTGATTGGTTTTGTGTAGTAGGGGATGTTAATAAGAGGAACAGAAGATTAAGTGAGTATTTCCTTTTTTTTTGAAAGAGCAAAGGGTCATTTATCATGTTTGTAAAGAGACATAGCTAAAGGAGGAGATAATTATAGATAACATTATCTCTTAATGTAACTCTTTTTAATATACAGTACAGATATGAATTTTAACTTTAATACTCATGTTTATCATTAGACAGTGCCATTTTCTCAGTTTAAGTTGACAGTGGAAGTGTAGGTTTTTTTAGGGAAGAAGATTGCAAGGCTGCAGAGAAACTCAAAAGAGAAAGAGATGTGATTTCTGTGTTAGATGGCAGTGACACGATGTTCTCTTTCATCTGCCTGTAGCTTTATGTTAGCAGCAGCAGTAGTTTGCTGTCCTTTTGTCTTCAGTAACCGTGTTCACTTATGGTCTTCTCTAAGCTTCCTTGTGCTCATCACTCATTGCTGCAGGTGTGCCAGCACAACTCTCTGGGGTCTTGTGCTGTGAAGTGTACCAAGGAACCATTCAGCTTTAAAAAAAAATCACACACACACGCACACACAAACACACGACCCTTATTTGACTGATTTTGTTTCCATGGTGTATTTGTTGTTCATTATCTTGGAAGAAATATGTGGAGTATTTAGTCAGCTTCCGTGCATAAATATTTTGTAACTTAATGGCAAACTGTAGGATAAGACAAATATTTTGACCACTGTCCAGAGTGAAAGAGAATGTTTACTGTTGGAACTTGGGTTTTCTAGCAGCAGTATTAGCTGAAGTAAAGTTTAGCAGAACATTTCATTTTTTTAGTTTCAAAATCCTTAACTAAGAGATGCTGGAAAATGTTGCCCTTCATGTTCTGGGTCTTACAAGAGGATATTTTGCAATATATTTTGGTACCTTATGACCTTTTGTAATAAATACTATCATGTCCCTAGTTCTGTGTCTTGCAAGAGCAGTCTTCCATGGACAATACTTCTGTGTTTGTTTGGAGTTACTAATGGAGCTGGTATGTTCAGAATTCTCCTCTTTCTTTCCCACTTAGATACAAAATACTGTATTACATTTCTACATCTCCTAGTTAAATCCAAGATATATCAGTTTTAAGAGTAAGGATTCTTGAGTTGTTCACTGTTCAGGATACTAACCTGAACCTCAGAAGATCCAGATTTTGTTCCTTATTCTGCCCCAAGATAAATGTTCGTAATCTTTTAGCATTGTAATATTCAGTGTACTTAGATGTAGGTATGTGAGTTGGTCACCTCTGCTACTTATATAAAAGGATGAGGGGAGTCAGGCACGATAGGTTGACCATTCTTGTATTAGTATTTCTTTACTGATGGAAGAATTCTGCTCAGTTCTCCATTTATGAAAATTTATTTGATCTGCAAGACTTGTGTTCTCACATTGAAATAGCTTGGCTCATCAGAGGGTTTATTTTTACTGATACTTGTGGGTTGGCAACAGACCCACCAACAGTCTGCAACTATTCTTAAGTGTTGTACCTCGAGTAGGACATGTGCTTCATGATCAATCAAGATGAATAGTCCTATGAGTTCTACCAGTGGCTTAAATTAGGCTGTTTGATTACAGGCATCGGTTCTCATTGCAAAACAATTACTGGCAGCCTCTGTCTCCCAGCTGAGAACAGTGCCTGCAAACAAAGAGCTTAACTTGGAGATATTAGACATTAATTGGCATTAAGGGGTGTATAAACTGTGATTCCACTGACACTCTTTCACTGCAGACCAACCTCTGCTTTCTGCCCATCTACCCACACTAGTGCTTCTAGACTCAATCACATTTGTAGTTCTTGCATTCATCTGATCATCCATACACTGCTAATATATGCTGCATTTTTATATTTTGATATCAACACGAGACTCCAACATCAGTTTCTGCTTCTGTTTAGAAACTCTGTCTCCCTTTAGTTTTCATTAATTTATCCTCAGAGAAAGACTCTGACTGTCATCTGCTGGACTACTTGCTCACATGGAAATAACCAACCTTTAGCACCTAGCAGACATGTCCAGTGCTTCCCCTGACAATTTCTGGATTCTCCCACTTTACTGAGGTTTCACTATGCTCGAGTCTAGCAGTTTTGTAAGTACACTTCTTTCCCCAAGCCAAATTGTATATTTTTCCCCTGTTGTTTCTGTCATGCTGCAGTAAAAGCAAGGATTCCATCTATAACCTTATAAATCTTATAGTACAACCTGATTTCAAACTACTTTTGAGATTCTACTTACTTACCTTGATACAAATAACTAATCACTAGAAATTGGAAAATACTATTAAATAATTTCTGTTCGTAAATTGTGTGTAAAATTTATCTTTTGGTATCATGTTTCTCTTTCGCTTGACATTTTATTAGGCTATCTGCATTCTAACAGAGAATTTTTGTCCTTGTATCTCAAATTCTTATCTGCCTCAATCACTGTTATGTCTTAATGATGCACATTCTGACTACTCAGCAATTTCCGTATTCATAGAGTCTTGATATATGAGCACCAGGTCAAGTCTGTCTATTAATTAAACACAAACTATTCTGTGAAGGAGAGAAGATAAATACCCAGAAGAATTGATTTGCCAGTTGATTTGTCACTGAAAGGGTCTCTGTGGGCTCTGGGGTGAGGATCTGCTTGTTGCAATGTTCTTATTCCT